ATGAATAAGATCTACTTAACCGATGAAACAGATCAACCTTGCAAACTCAGTAACATGTCCGTACACACAAAGATATCAGCATGAAACTACAATTTCCAACATTTTGTCAACCTAGAGTTCACACTGCTTTCAAACTTGTCAAATGATTCCTTAATAATCAGATACCTGATGCCATGTATGATAAATGAGTCATTCATTCTAGGTAAAGACCATTTTCATTTTCACCTATGATTACCTTCACTTTCTATTACAACTAACTTTCTTCTACCATTATTTTTAGATTAGCCGCCTATTTTATTAGATTTTAATAGTTGGATTATATTAAATTTGTTTTTAAATTTTAAAACAGGAAATATAATTCCGGTTAGACATTCTCAAGGCTTAACATAGATATTCATAACAATGGTAATAATAATAATAATAGCAATAGTAAGGTTAGCTGGAAAACAAATAACAATGAATGAGAACAATGAAGCCAACCTGATTAGATTCTAATCAGTTCATAATTGAAAGTAGGTCAAAGTGGTAGGGTAGAGTAAAAGTAAAAACTCTACATGATAATAAAGAATTCAATATAGTTGGATGACTAAATGGATTTTATATATACTAGTTGTAGATGAAACAGTGACAGTGAATAAATGAAGAAAAACCACAACCTGGTTGTGATGATATTCTCAGCAAAATTTCTAGTTAATCAAATCATTCTTGAATTTTCGCAGATTACTACCTATCTGTTTGTTTACTTAACTCTTTTTTATTTTTATTTTCAGGTGTATGCATAACGGTTTAATGATATTGTTTATCTGAAGAAGAGACTAGATACTTAAAATGGACTAACTAATTTAGAGATGAACAGTTGTAAGATGACGTAAATGGTTAACAATAAACATCATACAGGACTTTAACCAAAATGGCTATAATATAAGAAAGAAGTAGGCTTCAAAGACGTCTAGTTGTATTGCTCAGTTAGAGAATAAAATGAAACTTATGTTCTGTAGACTGTGATTTTCAATACAAATCTAGTTGTAAATTACCAGTCATTATTAGGTCATCCACCCAATGACTTAGGGTACTTTACCTTAAAGAAAATTTTCCTGTTTATGGAAATTATTAGTATGATCGGCTTTTGAAAAACTACGCCTTATTGTACTGCACTGATTCTGATTATACCTCAACCTTCTAACAACCAATGGACAATCGGCGCACATTTGTTCTCTTTTTATCAGAACAGTTCTCCAGTATGATATTTTGATTTCAATGAAAACGGTAGTTCCGATACACAAAATCAACTGGCAACTTGTAACTACTGCTCACTGTACTTCTAGTTGATCTATGTTAGGATTAAGAAATGAAATGTTGCCTAAGCTAGGCTGACAGGTTTTCTTTGAATACCATTCGGCTGCCAAAGAAAAAGAAAGTATAACAGTTATCGAATACTTTTTCTTAATGACGAATCCACTGCATTTTTTCAATATAAACAATATTAACTGACGTCACGTTAAACTGGAAAAGAGTTGAGCATGGTCATGCTCAGATATATAACACCAATATATAAAGCTATCAAGTATTTTTTGGACTACTAACAGGATAAATATAGACTGCTTAGTTGATGTCCTTAGGATCAATGAATGACTGCAGGGTATTCACAAAGGTGTCGATGAATTCACTCTTTATTGTCTTCCAGATATCGAACGTATCTGTTAATCTTTATTTATTATAACCACCACACGAAAACTTATCCATTTAATTACCACTACACTTATTTCCCATTTAATGTGTGTTCCTTCGGAATGTGTCAAATTGAACTGATGAACTACTATATATATGGTCTTATGACGATTCATTGATTTCTTTCCAGGTATGTGGTGCAAAGTTTGTGTCAAATTGATTGGTTCAGCAAAGATATCTTTTCGGCGATTTCATTCTCAAAAGCTGTACAATCGCATTTATATACATTAGTTTACATGGATACAATTATTATTTATTAAATTCCACATATTAACAAAGGAGATAATAATTTTCAACTTGAAATGCAAGTTAGGAGGTGTGAATACAGATTACAAGAGGCATAGAAACAAAAAATTACACAGGATTAGAATATAATTGTAAAATGGTTATTCTAAACGGATTACAAGTGTGATCAGGAGGAGCATGGAAACAAACTTAAAATAACTGATTTTATAACTGAAAAAATGGGGTGAATTGAATGAGGACAAAGAGAGAAAAATACACACACAGAGAACAAAACAAAAAAGAAAATTGAAGGATAAGGGAACATACCGAACTAGGACCACGGTAGGCTGGATTAGTTTCTTTTGAACACATAGCTCCGGCTTTTCGATGCATATGGCGACAGCTTCCGCAGTACAAAGAAGTCAGAAACACTGCCTTTGATAGATTTTTTGTTTACTTTGTAAATGACTCTGAATGATGAGTCAGTTTAGATGCTGTGACAGGTATTGACGAGGTGTTCTCTGTGTGTGTATTTTTCTCTCTTTGTCTTCATTCAATTCATCCCATTTTTTCAGTTATAAAATCAGTTATTTTAAGTTTGTTTCCATGCTCCTCCTGATCACACTTGTAATCCGTTTAGAATAACCATTTTACAATTATATTCTAATCCTGTGTAATTTTTTGTTTCTATGCCTCTTGTAATCTGTATTCACACCTCCTAACTTACATTTCAAGTTGAAAATTTTGATTTCAGCTTGTTTCCATGCTCATTTTGTTCACACCTGTAATTCGTTCTATCCCTGTGTAACTTTTGTTTCTAAGTCTCTTGTAATTCATATCAAGTTGAAAATAATTGTCACCTTTTATTCGCCTTTAAAATTATTTCTCCACTTATCAAATATTAATTTTGCATATGTTGTAATTTTTCTAATCCTATGTAATATTGTCTCTAAGCCCCTTGTAATCTATAATCGTACCTTCAAACTTTCGTATCAATTTGGAAATTATTATCTCCTTTGTTACTATATATATATATATATATATATATATATATATATATATATATATATATATATATATATATATATATATATATATATATATAGGAATAATTAGATTCCGTTGAAAAGTGAGTGAAAATAAATTGGTGCATTCCTGTCACTGTAAATACGTATCAGTGAAGATTAAAAATGAGAACTACACATTCCCATGGAATGAAACATCATGAAATTAATGCATAGCTCAGTATAAATCCCTGCCCTTAATCCGCACAACACAACTGAAAAACAGTCATTGCAATCATAACGGACAAAAGCTGTTCAAGCCATTTCTAGGCGACTAGAAATGGTCATCAATCTGACCATTCTGTTCTTATCACCAGTGAAATGTTTGATCTACACAGGTTCATATTGTCTGTATACACAAAACAGAATTCGTTAATTCACTGATCTCTGCTATAAATTGTATGGACACTGACTCAATGAGTCCTTCAAGATGTGAATAATGTTTCACTGGACTAAATTCGCTACTCCAGGGTTCATTTTGATCCATTTGAATATTTTTCTACCCTCGATACCTGTATTGTGTGACAGATGAGTTTGCTAAAGATGTTCTTTGCATCTTGTTAACAACTAAATAGAATTACACCCTATAAACTGACTTCAGAAATCCTAAGAAACATATTCCAATCTTGTACAATACAGACGATAATTTGATGAATAAAAACACGCTTTACTATGAATACTGGTAGATTATTCCTTTGCCTTATTTCTAAATTCAACAAACCTGACTGATAAAATTCAGTCTGCACCGAAGAAAGGACTAGACAAATCACACTAGTTACTAGTGTCCAATCAAATTATCCAATACACTCCTACAAGAGGTCAATCGCGAGCCCGAATAGCTCAGTGGTAACGTCTCTGACTGCAGCACTGGATGACGCATGTTCGAATCTCAGAAGGGACATGAGTTCCTTCAAGGTTGCAGATACGCCTTGTTGACGAGTGCCAACTAGCACAAAACCCAGGTCCAAGACTTCCTGCTGATTGCCTCCAACCATCTAACATCAAAAAGTTCTTAAAAATTCCACTTACGCTGAACTATTAGTCACTTAATAACGACTACCGATTGGTATTTATTATATCTATTATCAACTGATGATACACGAAATATTAAAAGATACTAATATAACTAGTGCTATTAAGTAATTTCGAACTTTGATATGCAAGGTTGAGTAAAAAAAGTGATTATTCTTGTTCTTCTAATTGATAACAACAAATCTGTCGCTTCATTTTGTGATATGCCTACCAAAATGTTTTATATTTGAAATTAATGTGGAGTGATAAGGAGAACAAACATAATAGACTAAAAGAAATAATAGTGCATCAGTGGCACAGCGGTAGAATGCTCGCCGACCACGCAGGCGGTTGTGGGTTCGATCGCCGGCCGACACACTCCTTTACCTCGCTAAGTCAGGAATAAGACTGGCAAAGAGTGCAGGTTGGGCATGAGGCTACCAACCGCATCCCGTAAAAATAAAAACACCACTGCTACCGAAACTTCAAGGCTTTAGCTTGAAGCCCTGTGTTCCACTGGGAACGTAAAGGAATAAAAGATATGGGAAATCTAACTTTGATAAGAGCTATATACATCAAAAATGCGATAATGCATAATAGAAGCATATCTAAACCCTTAAATATATTTTTTTCTTTATTGTATAGATTGTATACCGCGCAGTTACGAGAAGACTTTCCCCTGTGTACACAACGAAATACAAGTGAACAAATCGATTACGCTTTCAATGCACCATTTGAGATTTTCAAGCTGTAGGGAATTAACACGAATTGATATTTTTTAAATGACACATTTTTTATCTACTTGTTCATCACATTTTATTATAGAAAATTGAATTTCATATCACAAAAAGGGAGAGAGGAAACAATGAACGCCTTGTAGAAATCCATTCATGACAAAGATAGTAGTATAGAAATAATTAACAAAAATTATAAAAAAGTTTCAGATTACAGTGAAAAAATACATATATATATATATATATATATATATATATATGTAATATGAAGTTAGATAGGAGTGAGACCAGATTCCAATAGTTTCATATCTTCATCTACCATAAGTTTAACAAGGTCTTTGAAACCACAAGTAGGCTCCCATTTCAATACTTCTTTAGCACGTGTACAATCACCCAATAATTCATCCTGTTAAAAAGAATTATAAAATCCAATATGAGAACAGAAAGAAGTAAAGAAACGGTTGTTTAGAAGTATAATCACTACGAAAATCCAACAGACATTTTAATGACTTTTAATAACGCATGGATGTGTGTACATGCAATGGCAAAAAATGCAAATATAATATATATCGTAAAAGCGCCGGTGCTTCATTGGTAGAACACTCGCCAACCACTCACTTGGTCTGTGGTTCGATTGTATACCGACGCACTCGTAAACCTCGCTTAACCGGTAGTAAAACTGATAAATATTGAAGGTTAAGTGTGAGGTTAGCCACCCCACCCCGTAAAAGAACATCATCGTTACTGAAACTTCAGAAATCAAGCTCAAAACTCTGTGTTCCACTGAGAATGCAAAGGAATATAATAAAAGTAATAATGATATCATGAAATTTTGTACTTACTACTTCTGCTGGACGGAAGTACCGTTCATTAACACGAACAAGAACCTTCCCTGTAGCTGAATCAATACCAACTTCATCAATACCAGTACCCTTCCAACTAAAATTGAGAGAAACGTTTCAATTACATGAATAACTTGAAAATTGCTTGATAAAACTATCAGTTTAACATGTAAAACACAATTTTAACAAATATTTAACCTTTCAAAAATACAACAATACAAAAATTTCAGCAGAAACAGATATTCTATGATAGTTGAAAAATCGAATATAACCAATTCCGTGTGAAAAATCCAGCCTCCCTGAGATATAAGGACTTCACATTACTTCAAGTTACTTCAAACTATCAGTCTTCACGTCATGAAGATAAGAGTAAATAAGTGTTAAGAAGAATAAATTTGTAAAAGTACTGATTTGAATAACAATACATGAAAATGCTACAAAGAAAAGAGAAACGATAATGAGACTGGTAAACAAGAATTTAGTTTATTAGGAGACGGAAGTACATCTCCATCACTGAAATCAATTATTAGAAGATAAGTTACTCATTCTTGGCTGTCTGTAGATTGTTCTGTTCCAGTCACCAACAGCTTAATTCGAATTAACAATGCACGCTGAAATGCAGTGCAGCTATATATATATATATATATCTTAGCGTGTGACTAATGATTTTATAGGATGATTCATTCTCCTCACTGCTCGTACTACCTCACACCCGACTCTTATACTCTCTACATAATGATTCCACTACACAAAAATTCGACAGGAGAAATAAATAAAACTTGCTAAACAGAAAGCCCTAAGCGATATACGATAGCATGAAATGGTCACTATTAGCAATCTGTATTATGACTTTTACATTGTAAATGTGAAGGCATTTGTTCATTTATACTAAACAGTTAGTCCAACCAATGAAAAAAAATTGGAATTGCACGTCCAACAGGATTACCACAATATAGTAGTTCACAGAGCTTCATAAAAATATGTATCTCGACCGAAATATATAATTCAATGATACTATTCATATAGTTCAATAATAAAACCTATAGGTATATCATACAACCATCGTAGTGTAATTACCGAAAAAGCAAACTAAACGCAAGGTTTTTCGATGAACCACCTTAGACATTGTTTATAGAGGCTAAATAAACTGAAAATTGTTTCCATTTGACACTGTAAAAGTACAGGAAGCGTGAAGCGTATTTATGAGAAATGTGTTTGCAAGTATTTCAAGTGAACTGAACTGAATTATTAACGCAGAACTTTGCACAAAAGTGCAGCAGCCCGAGTAGTAAAACTGCATAAAGCACAAATATAAAGGTAGAGATAGAAAAGAAATGCAAAGAATCCGTAAAAAACGAAAGTGTACATGAAGAAGTATAATCGTAAGGAGAATAGTGACAATTTGGTGGATCTGGGGGATCACAGAGTGACAGATTACTTGTGAACTATAAATATCATTTTATGAGCATGAGAAATGACCTGTGTTAGACGATTGCGGGTGAAAAATCAAACAAAAGCATACCTACACTATTGATATGCTTTTATTCAAATGATACTACTAAACAATTAAAATTATTCGAAATAAGAAATTCACAAAATAACAAGTGACTGAAATTAAAGCAAACATCTAGAAACAAGATGAGCTTATCACTACAAACATTTACTTACACTATATGGATTCCAACATGTTCGAAAGCTAAACTGGTAAATTCGCGAACAGAATGTTTTTCACCAGATGCAATAACGAAATCCTCTGGAGTATCATGCTGAAGCATAAGCCACATAGCCTTAACGTAATCACCAGCAAAGCCCCAGTCACGTTCAGCATTCAAATTACCTAGTTCTAAAACGTCCTATAAATAATAAATCGAAATGGTTGCACATAATTTAAATCACAGAAGGTAACCGACGACAATATTATTTTAAGAATAAGACATTCGTTATGATACATACAACAGATTTTAGTTTAACTTGATATCACTTCACGAGGCAAAAAACTATTGTACCGTATTACCAAGTCATTTCGAGCCTGTTTTGTGTAGAAAAGTATGAGATTATTATACGGGGTTACAAAGAGGTGAGTGAAACCAAGTCCAGGTATGATACAGCTAGGCATTCATGGAAATGAAATTAGTGCATTTGATTTTAGCTTCCAAATCCTGAGTATTTTGTTACTATAAACACATTCATTTCGTGCTAAAAGATATAATTTCTGTCACTGTTAATTGAGTAAGTTCGTCAGCCTAAATTAAAGTTTTAGTACAGATATATGCACTTTTATGAATAGTTTTATGCTGTTCTGATTATTTGGAACAGAAATACATACTCAATTATTGTTGGTTTTTCAAAATAGGTAGGATACAAAATTAATGTAATGTTTGACACCTTGCAAGGTATTGGTTTTCAAAGTACAGATCCGAAGGGGACAGACTGAAAGATAATAATAGTTAACATACTACACGATACACAATTACAAATAGTTACGTTTCTTTATGAGCATTTCTAAACAAACAACAGAAAAAGCAACAATTCATTAAGTAAAAGATTCATACTTGTAAACCCTTTTTAATTCGCACAACTGCTCGTGAAATTTTTCTAGTAACAAAAGTTTCACCTCTCCGAGGACTTTCATGATTGAAGAGAATTCCGTTGCAGGCAAACATTCCATATGACTCCCGATAATTCACAACAATCCAATAAGCATACAATTTAGCGACGCCTAAAGAGAATAAATGATTTAAAATTAACATATTTTACAAGTGACATAGTAAGCTAAATATATTTTTCCTTAATGAAGAATATTTAAAAATATATTTTTGGAGCGTATGCCTTAATTTTCTTATCATCAGAAAAATAACAATAAATGGATTAAATCAGCCTATCAGGGTGTTACCGCCCGTGAAAGCTTGAAGAAATTCACTAAATTTTACTTAATTATTCGCCCGCACACGTTTGTTAATCGAAGCACTATTCCATTTCTCTTCCCTGATTTTTCGCACATTTTAGAGTGTGGAAATTTCAACTGATGAACTTCTATGGATAATTTTATGCTGAATTAACAATCAGCAGTCGGTCTATTTGTTATCTGAGATAGTCATCCATAGTTTGTGTGATGTATTACGACATAATACGGACTAAAGTCCTTCAAACCTTCAGAGGTCTATGGCACAACAACAATCTAGATAAAAAAAGGGTCCCCGAGACCCTTTCTACTTATAAAAGTTTTGTACTTCATGCATTCTTCTCTATGCATTACGGTATTTGAAAACCTACCAGTTTCTGTTTTATTTATATCAGTGGTAAATACTCCGATTAATTCCATGAAATGCGTGTTATTAAAATTTAAAATACAATGTTCGTTTACTAAACTCACTGTATGGTGACCTAGGATGGAATGGTGTTTTCTCACTCTGCGGAACTTCAGCGACTTTCCCATACAGCTCGCTACTTGAAGCCTGGTAAAATTTAACCTTTTTCTCCAATTTGCAAGTCCGGATAGCATCTAACATACGTAGAGTACCAATGGCAACCACTTCACCAGTATATTCACTAAGGTCGAATGATACCTAAAATAACATCAGAGATATACATGCAAATACCTTCACATGTGACTGAGCAGCCAAATTGTATATTTCGTCTGGCATAACTTTACTAATGACTTTGATTAGTGAAGAACTATCGGTCATATCACCATAATGTAGAAAAAACGTTTCTATTCAAAACCATTAGTTATTTAGTATGACTTACTGTCCTGTAAAGCTTTGTTCCTCTCATAGATGTGGTTTACTCGACCCGTGTTGAATGAGCTTGATCTTCTTATGATGCCGTGAACCTAAAGCATGTATTCGTTAGTTAAAAAATATATTACAATGTAATTCTTCGACAGCAAAAACTCGGCCAAATAGGATCCATCCTAGGAGATACAAACACAAGGAATTGAACTAACTTGACCAGTTATACCGGTTATTAGTGCCACCTTTCTTCTTGGAGCATCACCATTCATTACTTCACCACAGTTCATCGTCAAACAGTCGAAATGCTTACACGACCTTCAACTGTCCTTTTATCACTTTGAGTGCCACAGCAAAACAAAATAAAACACGTATTTCTTAAAAAATTCGCTGAAAACTAAAAAAAGCATTTTGCTTGAAAGTTTCGGACTGATATTTTACTCATCGTTTAAATTAGTGAAATCCTACTTAGATTATCACTATACTACTGAACAGAAAAACATGGCTTCTCATCTCTGAAGTCGACTTCCTTGAACATCATGTAACTGATCTCGTCCCAAACGACTAGCAGTCTTAAGCACCACATCAAATGATTGATTAAGTGCGTTCATCTAGTCGGTAAGCAACTGATGCGAGACGCCTAATGCAACCATTCTACATCGAAATATTCTCTTAGATTAGCAACGTCTTGATGAAGTCTACTATAATGTCAGGTTAGTGGATATTTCGGCCATATATGTACCTTTGTGAATGCAAAAGCCGTCGGCCGACGAAGTTTCAAGAATAAACACCCTAGCTAGTTGTTTCTACCTGGGTTAGAATTGCCAATGCAGGTTGTTCATCTTACACTTTAAAGTTTCATCATCGATTATTCAGCTGCTTCGACTCATAGAACCGTGGAAATATGGCGACAGCCAGTCACTGAAGCTTTTTCGATCAGCGAGTGAGCCTGAGGTATTGCCTCAGAAACGAAAGAGTTATGTACCTCTGTAAGGTAAATTCCTAGGTCAAGCAGCCCTTTCTTCGCAGCTGCAACATATCTCAACTTAGCAGCACACATGATCGTTGGATTTAAACACACACTTGTGTCGAAATCATACTATCCATGGCCAGGAAGCTCAACGTTGCAGAGAACTCTGCAAATTTAGATGGTATTCAAAGAGTGTGAGAAATTCCCACACCAATACGTGTTATTGGCAACCTTAGTCAGTGTGGATATCTACCCACTTTATATTTAAAATGCCGATTGTAAAACCACGTAATAGGCTGACGCTCGTTCCGAAGTCAGCACCCTTCCTGCCATAGATGTAGATCACAAAGAACCTACCTTCAACCTATAGGCAGCAAATGTAAAACTTATTGCGAAGTTTGGGAGGAGATATGTCTATATCAACGCTGATTTACGCAAATCTACTGAGTGGTCTTTACTTCTTGCAAACGTTACTATGCCTATCATAAGGACGGACCTAGCCAAGTATGGTGATCTGCTGGTAGACTTCTGCCAATGACAAGTCGTACAAAATCTGCCTGTTAAGAGATTTCCATGAGAAGGTCAAAGCTGTCGCTGGCTGTAAAAAACCATAGTCCATCCAATTTTCGTTTAAACAGCAGTCACGAAGACTGAGGTGATCGCGATTGTCTGGAACCGACAGACGTGGGGTACAGTATTATGGAACCTGAGCATGCCGTTCCGCTAGACGCCCCCTCCCCAACAGAATGCAGTTAGTATGCGGAGAAGTTGTCAGCAACACGAAGGGAAGCGAAGTCATTAGCGAGACTCAGAGGAGAACACGGTAGGGCCGAGCCTACACACCTACATACTTATCTTCTATGAATAGGGATATTTTTTAACTGCATCATGCATAATAAATTAAGTGTATTTTGTATTCTGACTGTACGCTCAGCTGCCTATAAAATCTTACGATATTCCACCTTTTATCATTTGCGTATGCTTAATATGTATCTTGATTAGAAGAACAATTTCGGAAAATATTTTTCGATGGAGTTCTCAGCATTTCTGCTTTTTTTCGAATGCATAAGGCATCGGAAGAGAAGCAGACAAAGCACGAGATCCATTAGAGGGACATCAACCAAGCGATGTACACACATCACATTTGGATAGGCAGGTGACCAGCAAGCTATTCATCATCACCAGAACCATCAGAGTACTTACACTAATGGCGTCGCCATCTTCATTTTACTTTCGGTCGGCTCCGCCTTGAGATCTTCACGACTCCACTGGAAGGGAGTCCGCTGTAGCGGTAAGTAATTATCCAAAATTACTAGCATATGGGAACCTTCAACCAATACTGGATGCTGACCTTTACTGCTTACGTTCATTCATAGAGCTGAAGGTTCGTGGCCAAGTATCTGCACCATTTGTCTCGCTTTCGTGTAACGTTCACTCGTTCGTTTCCCACTCCTAGCTAGCTAATCGAGTATCATCGTACTACGATTCTGATCCCTTAATATGTCCCTTATATGTGACTACCAATCGGGTATTTTGATTTGTTGTTGGTCTATGCATAACAAATACTATAGAGGTTAGAGGATAAGAACTTGCCTTTCTATACGTCCTAAGTTGCATGAGCTTCAACATCCCTTAATCTCCTAGAAAGGGCACTTTTGAATCCGTCACATTTAAAAGAATGTATACATGAGTCAAAGACTTCTTTATATTACCTACCTCTTCTGATAACAGTTCATTCATCTGTCCTACTCGCTGAACAAGATATTATTTTCCTGAGGTCTCCAAAATCACATCCATTGTTTCTTCCACAATGTTTCCAAATTCCAGTCGTTTAAGGACCGTAATATGTGGAAAATTTACCGCTTATAAAGTCTAGTTATTGACTTATTATGAGAGGGAGGTCTAACTCCAAGCACCTTTTTATCACTAGTCGCTATATACTCCACAAGTCGTGCCAAACATTTGTTAAGCACTAAGCAAACGACCAGTTAGTTATGAGGTATAATTTTCAAAATTCGAAGTTAGTTGAAACATCTAAAAGAGAGTAATCTTGGGAAATTCAGTGGAATTTATTACTGTCTATTTAAGGCATTTTCTTTGAAGTTTTTTATCGACAGTTTGTAGAATTCCCACTAATTCGCAGGAAACTTGACATCACGTTCAGGGATAGTAGCATGTAATTACTGCACATACTTAAGTACTCTTGTTCCATATAATTCGTTTATCAGATGTATCGCACTGTGATCTGAACGTCACAAAATCTGTCTGTTGAGTAATAAATGGTTAAATAATATGAGTCACAAGTAAAGCTTTCGTATCTTTCACAGTCTCGGATAGTTCTGGAAGAAACCCAGAATACCTTTGTGATGTAAATCTGAGTGGGTATTATGAATGATATAACTTACGTAATGGATGTAATGGTAGTAGCATATACCTATAAGCCGATCATAGACAGATAAGCGTCAATAGTGTTAAATCTGAGAAGGACCAAACCTACTAATGCTATCAGGATCACTTCATACTTTAGTGAGTGCTACTTATGATAAGATATAAGCAGCATATCAGTAAACGAGTTCAGAAAAGCAACAATGTTTCCGACACTAGAAAAAGCAATCGAAGAACAGAACTGTGAAAAAAAGTTAGAAATACTGCGAAGGACTCAACAAGCTACCGAATGTGGTGATGTTCGACTGATTTCCAAAAATATGCAAATAAAGCATTGAGATATGGCATGCCAGATTTATGTACCTACAGTCAGTTTTTCCTAATAAGAATTCCTTCGAGCCTCATCGGTCTTCCCTTCCTTACTATACCACTTGGTTTGGTAGGGAGCCAAACTCTTCGATCATTCCATTTAAACGCGAATTCCGCTAGTATCACTTCTCTAGTTGAATTTGTCATCAATGAACCTTACCGAGACATACACTGATACCACAAAATGCAGTCGCATATCTCATTCAAAAAAAATAATAATAAAATAAAAGCTGCCTGTATGACAAAGCTTGTGTATAAACTCTTTGAAAACAAGCTCATGGTACGATTTCTTTACTTCAGGAGGACATCTGTATAAATCAGAATAACAGCATAAATAAGTATCATCACTCTTTTTGTTTTTCTTTCCTTCTACGTATTTTATGTAGTTTGGCGTTTGGATTTAACTCCCCCAACTTCTATTCCCACTACCCTATATAGGTGTAAAAATCATTATTCGTTTTGCCCTTATGTTTTTAAAAAAAATTTGTTATTCTATATTTTTTGTTGTTTACTACCACAAACTTGAACTAACTATTAGTATGTTACACTATAAAACTCAATGACTCTAAATTATTAGTAACAAAATAGCGGAATAAACCCTGCGTTTATCGCATATTGTTTGCTTAAATTATTATTTGCTGGCTGCCTCTGCACCTCTCTTTCTGTTTTCTTCTTCCTTCTCTTCTCGAAGGTATTGCATTGATGCACTGCAAATGAACAGTAATGCTGCTTTCTACGTTTGTATTACTTGAGCGCTATTCAGGATGTTGTTGGCACACACAACGAACAACGGAAGAAATTCCATTCTGTGTACTGTTTGTCATCGCAAAGTTGGTTCCTTAGTATCTGTTATTACCAATATAATGCTGTACTTACCCTCTACTATGAAGTTTTTTTAATTTTTGAACCCTTATTAATTGACAAAATGATAATGATCACAAGGCCTGTATCCTGTATGTCGTACTCTAGCACATGTTAATCACCTCTCTTCTTACCTTCCATCAACGCAACATTTCATAATTCCCGCATGAATTTAACTGACGATAAGTATATTATAGACTATAAATTAGACTTGAACCAATATATTGTAATCTATTCTAACAAAGTTTCTAGAGGTTTTTTTCCATTTTTCCAATTTTTGATGTCAAAAAAAACTGTGTTCCCTTTCAAATTGCACTTGTCAAATATGATCATGCCTGTACAAACGGTATGTCAATCATGTAAATGCTTAATTTATGTGAAATATATATTATTATTATATGTAATGTGATTCCTTTGATGCCTGGCGAACAACTTCATTCAGAATAAAAATAAAAAGCTCGTGTACTCCCCATAACAAATACGCGACTTACATATGTGGATACTTTCTTCGTCAGAAGACTGAATGTCACAAATTAAACGGCATGAATTTAAGGGATGTTTGTTTTCAATTTTTAACCTTAAAATTAAACTTATGTACGAATTTCGTGTTACTTTTATGTGTGATTTTCGTTTTTTATTATTTTCTATCGTACTGTTAGTGTTTGGATAGTATTTTTATTAATACTGTCTACTATTATATGTAGCTATATTTTGCTATCTTTATTCGCTTTTCTAGCCGTTGGATA